TCTTAGAATACAAAACGCGGATGAGTAACAAATGACAATAGTAGACACAATTATAGCAAAAACGGTGAATATAGCTAGAAATACTCTTCTTGGATTTTGTTGAGCAACATCAAAGGAGCCAGACACAGCAAAACCTACAAGACCAGCCCAACTTACTACCAAGTACACTTTGAAGCATTTCTTCACCAATTTGTTATTTTTATATCTTGTCTTCAAAGTTATTGCTAACAAACGGTCGACACTCATCGCCACCAATATCGAGATAGATACCCCACAAAACAAGTATGCAATCGCCTTGCTAAGTATTAGCATAGCACAAACATATGAAGTCCACTGTCCATCCTGGTTTTTCCTTATTAAGATATAATTAAATGCCAACATTAGCTCTCCAACTATACCCGAAAGAAAGTCTGCCAAAGCAAGGTTGGCCACGAGGATGTAGGAAGGTTTATGAAGAGCAGGAGTCTTCCAAATTGACAGAATTACCAGAAAATTGAAAGATCCAGAAGTCATGGCAGTGACTATCAATAAGCAAGCCAATGGGGTGTTATATGAATGTGGTAAATTCTGTAAATTATAACCAAATTGGCATTTAAACGTTGTCTGATTTACCATCTTGTACCGTCTGTGTTCGCTTACAAGTCCCTGTTGTCAAATCGCAGTTTTCGACTTTAGCGCAGTTTGTTCATTTGCACTTAATATCGAAGCGGGTTGTTTCTGATACGCAATGATTAGTCAAAAGAAAACTTTTCCTGTGTTTGCATAGGCTGTTTAAAACAATCGAGGGGTTGGGAGAATTCTCGACAGTTAATATGTAAATCCGAGATAAAGTCGAAGTCAGCCGGCTAAGCAAACACGTGCCGGAAAACATTTCCTATTGCCCAAATAATGAGATCTCTTTAAATTATCATATGTCTAATCTCTTTAAGTTTTGTCTCAAAAAGTTGATAACTTGTTTCAATGTTTTTGTTATTTTTGACATTACAATAATGTAATAACCACAGCACTTATCATTATGAACAACCGAATATCCAGGTATGGAACGTAAAATCCCTGTAATATCCTTAAGCAGAATTGGTATTTTCCACATTTTAGCAGGGAGTTTGACATAGCGAAATCTATTTGTGGAAAAGCAATTGTCCGACATGGAAAATTACTTGGAAAAGATGGATTCAGTTTCACATGCGGGAATTGTCAAAAACACATGTTTTTCAGAAAAATCCATCTGTAAAAAGGCTCTTTTTCAACATGGAAAACAGTAAAAAAACACATAAAACACACTGAATTTCCATCAAAAATCCACATTATGTACATTGAAATATGTAATCCTTTCCTGGCCAAGGTCATCTCCCCGACGACCACCATCTTGAAAAGGAGTCGGTCGAGATTGCCCTGGGGACGAGATTGGATAGACACAGGTTGGCTTGGGTTTCCTGTTGTTATGAATGATCGACATTATTGGGGCTCCTGTGGTAAATGACGTAGCGTTTACCCATGTATATTCCGTCGGGTTTCCTGAGTTAGAAACATGACCAGATGTGGAGCGGTGGAGCGTGTGCAATACACGCGCTTGTTCGCTGATTTGACTCTATTGACGGGAAACGTCGGAAATAGAGCGGATTTCGTATGAGTGGGAAACGGACGGTACTGTACTGTGACCGTAATCGTACTGTAACCAAATTCTAGTGCCCCAATGGTTCACAAAAATTGTGCAGGCCAGGTCCGGTGACTGTGCGGTAACCNAAAAAAACTAAAGCAGCATTCATCTCAAATTTGAGTATCAGGCGGCCTATTTTTACGACAAACAGATCACCCGTGTAGGGTCGTGTAGCGCATACATTTCTCGCATACAGTTCTCGTTCGCTAATCAGTATCAATAATATGGAATACTGCAGTACTGTATATTTTTATATCTCATTAGATCGAGAATCCTAACTCGAAGGATGGGTATCCTCGACACACACTAACAAAAAATACCAGTCAGAAAACGGCTTCAAGTCTCTTCAAGCGCATTTGTTGAAATCGATGATGGATTCGACGTGTTGGTGGTCGAACAAAAAGTGCCGTGCTGTCAATAAAAATATCTATTGAAACTGTACGTACTTTTGATTGCTCTCACGAACATATTATTATATTTACTATATTATTTTACGTCGGAGAAATCCAACTCGAGAATGMGCTAAACGGATGGTTTGTTTGTCGTCAGATTATGGCAGGATATAAAGCAGATCTAAACGTATAACTAAAGGTTTTTATAGCTCGATCAGCGTTAAACAAAGATCGCAGGTGCAATTTTTCGTTTATTGTTATCCGGTTTCTATGAACTTCAGAGAAATACCTACATGGTTCATTCAGGCACAAATAATGGAGATATTTCCACGGACATTATGTATTTCCCCGYACATTGATAATCAAACATAATAAAGCATCGGATTTCAAGTATATTTCAAGGGATAAGCGACAAATATATATAAATATATAAGTAGAATAAAGTTAAATAAAACACCAACTTGAAGCTATAATACTATCTCTATTTAATTATATATATAATATATAAAAATAAAAAATCCTATACCAAAATCCAACTCGAGAATCCAACTCGAAAATCCAACTCGAGAATCCAACTCGAGAATCCTAACTCGAAGGATAGGCATCCTCAGCGTGCCCAAGTATCGAATATATTATAAGTGTTCCTGATACATTGTTTTTTCAATTCATTTTGTTTTRAATAGCAATATTTATAACATTAATATCAAAAATCAAAATAATCATATGGAGTCTTGATCTGCCGGTTTTCATTTCGTTTGAAAATTTGCGAAATTCCCCGCCTCAACATAGCTGTGCTTAGAACTACTTAAGTTAGACGTAGATAGCGGTTACGATGATAAAAAGAAACAGTAGTGCAGGTTCGGATTTACAGTAACAGTATTTTTTAAACATTYGTGTTGCKTATTGATAATCGTTAACCGATGACGAAGCTTGACCTTGAGTTGCAAACACAAAGGGCTATCACATTTAATAATAATAATAATATAATAATATGTGGTATTTATATAGCGCCGATATCCTCTGAGTTCAAAGGCGCTTCACATATATAGATCATTTCACACGGACCGCTGTTTAAGGCGCAATTGTCAGCCACGCGGCTTACAATCATGAGGGGTTAGTAATTAGTATTGGTTAGTAGTAAGGCCTAGCCACACACACCGGGAATCATTCCCTACTCTTATGCGAACAGTGGTGTGGGTTCTTTAACGTCCCTCTAATACAGGTTAGTGAGTGAAGTGTAGAGAGACGGGACCTCCGATTTTACGTCGTTATCCGAGAGGACGAGAAGATCTTACCATTTGCAGATGGAGAAAGACAAAGGCAGCAACTTCTCCTCAATTATTTTAAGACCCTGAGTGTTGGTCCGGCAGGGGTTTGAACCTGCGACCTCCCGCACTAAAGTCCGATGCTCTACCTACTGAGCTAACCGGTCGGCATTTCTAGTATTCATGATCGAGCTCGAAAATACACTATATAATTCTTTTCACAAACGCTGAGCACGATGTCTAAATAAACTACTTTTTATGCGAAGTACTATCTAGTAGCAAAACTTTTATAACGCACCGATTGTTTAAAACGTTGGCTTGAGCATCGATAAGTCACATGACCGAATGACATGGTTTGACCTCGAGTTATAAACACCTAAGCATTTACATTTCCGATTTTCATTATCAAGCTCAAAAACATTCTAATAAACAAGCTCTGTTCACGATGTCAAAAGTAACTTTTTACGTGGAGTGCTAGGTTTGCAGTAAATGAACTTTTAGAACTCATCCACTAACTCATGACCTTAAAAAGTTGTCATCCCCTCTACGGGATTCACACTTTCTTAAGCATACATTGTAATCACAAGTAGCTTTACTATGGCAACACTGGTCTCAAGCTGATCGCAATAAAAACGAGCTTGCGGCTTCATGTTATGCACGCAAAAATGGACTTCATAAAAACGAATTTTGGTGCATGGAAATTTATTTAAAATGTTATTCATGGACTCCGTACAAATCACAAGAGATCAAGAGTAACATTTATAACATTATTAATACACCTTTTGCTGTTCATTAACCGCGAAGGAACTTTCAATCAAGCGAAACTGCATTGTCTTTAGCGCGAACGAACGTTCATTAACGCTTAGGGAGTTTCAAGAGCGTGAAGGGAGAATCATTAACATATTTAGCATAGACATGGACAATCATGCATAACTGGGCGCAGATTCATTAACGTTTTCAAACCTTCATTAGCCCATTATGTGCATTCAATAAACTACAACAAACATACAATACCAAAATACGGACATTTAATTTCGTCATAGTATTTATTTCTAGGATTTAAAGAGTGTTTAATAAGTGTGATATTTTACATACAAAAATTATCTTCATCCTTGAATATGCTCTCTATTTAAGCATCTTGGTAAATAAGTTTGCATATGGTTGCGGTAGAACTATTAACCCCCAATGTAGCGGCAACCGCTAGATAATCCTCGGCCGGGTACTCATACGCTCTTACAAGACGCTCTTTCACTTCGCTCGAAATTCGATGTCGACGCGGAGGCATTGCATTCCAACTTTAAACAAGTCGTAGTAGCTGTAACGAGTCATATTTCATGCTGAAATTTGACTGCAAAAACTATGACGAAATTAAATGTCCGTATTTTGGTATTGTATGTTTGTTGTAGTTTATTGAATGCACATAATGGGCTAATGAAGGTTTGAAAACGTTAATGAATCTGCGCCCAGTTATGCATGATTGTCCATGTCTATGCTAAATATGTTAATGATTCTCCCTTCACGCTCTTGAAACTCCCTAAGCGTTAATGAACGTTCGTTCGCGCTAAAGACAATGCAGTTTCGCTTGATTGAAAGTCCCTTCGCGGTTAATGAACAGCAAAAGGTGTACTTGTAATATTGACAATGCTTAGTTTTGTTTGGTTTTTGCTTATTCATGCAAGAAAAATGTGATGATACATAGTATGATTGTATTTTGGTAGAAATCACCGGAGTTAAGTTTACAAGTGATTGCTGACATTCTTGATTATATATTATGTAAATAACATACTACTTTTTGTGCAACGTATAAATTGCCAAAAAACTCAAAGTTCTTTTAGTGCAAAATTAATGTAATGATACTGGTAGAAAACGTGAGGGCTATACAGTATGCTTCAATTATAAGAATATCTTAAATGTGTTAGTTTTGTATTTTTTCTTCTGCATCAATTTCAGTGGATAAAACTACTTAAACATATCCAAGTCACTTATTTTAAGGCTTCCTTTAGATAATTCCAACTTGACAGTTGCTTGACAGGTGCTCCTTTAAATTTCTTCAGCAACTCTTCTGTATTCCTAACAGTGGAAACTACATTCACTTGTCTACGAACCTCAGTGTAGGCTTTAACACGATTAGTCCAGCCTTCTTTTGCCTCCATTTCTTCAGATCTTATCAACAAGTCGATGTAGTCTACGTCTGACAGGGGATTTGGTCTTAAAGCAATCGCACCCAGGCGTTCAAGGCTTGCTCTTACTTTGCGAATATTGAAAAAGACACCGTAATGCATTACTTCAAGTTCGGTGGAAAGACCGCTCATGATTCTCTCCTTTTCTGATTTTTTTTCTTTGGCAACTTCATAACGCTTCTTGAGCTCTCGAGATGTTTTCTTTACATTTTCGGTGTACAACTTGAACCGGTATCCATTGTTGAAATGCATATTCCAGCTGCACTTGTTTGGACACACCTTACAGTGATCGTGATCAACCATCGCAGCGCAATTCATTTTGTCTTCATCTTTTGGAATACGGCAAGGGTAATGACAAGTGGAGTGGCAAAATAGACAATTGGTGACATGCTCACCATGCTTTAAATCCACTTTTTTCTGCCTGGTTTCTTCGATCCAATAATCAAAATCTTTATTTGTCTCTATCTCTTTTACATGCCTGATTAGGACAAGTTCCTCTTGATGGAGCTGATCCACTTTGAATAAACCAATTCTTATTTTTTGCTGCAAATCTTCGATTAAACACTCTAGGTGTTCTCTTTCTTGGAGGACCTCTCTAGTCAATTGCAGACTGACACTTTCAGTTTGGCCAAGTATTTGAAGGAAATTTTCAAAGCTTTTCTTCCCCATTTCCCAAAACATTTCATTGAAAGCATTGCATTGATATTCGTTTCCTGCTACATTGCTTCCACCTTCATCTGGAAAATGTGCAGAGTTGTTGAACTTGCAAGCCTTCTTGAACTCAATGCTCTCTTCATCTATCGCAGATAGTACTGGTGGTGTACTGCCATCAGCAAAAGTTATCATCAAAAAGATGTTTTGGAAGATGTCCTTGCCAAAGATACTGAGGATGGATTTAAAGATGTATTTCTGTGTTGGGGTAAGACGAGCCAGAGGTGCTTGGACAACAAACCCGATACCATCAATATGATCAAGGCCTTGTGGCCCTTTGATGGAGAAAAACTCCTTGATTTGTTTTGTTATTTCTTTATCCCTTTCAAGGCCTCTTGTGTCCCCATAACCAGGGGTGTCAATAATGGTTAATGTATAGGGAAGGTTTAATGAACTATCTTTCTTTGAAAAGGTATACGCTGTAATCCACTTGGTTTGGCTTTTGGCTTGGCTGTCAGACGTCTCGTCGCTTATTAGCTCGTAACGGTATGGATCTTTGTACTCGACTTGCTTCACGTAGTTTACAAATCCATTGATCAATGTACTTTTTCCAGATCCAGTGGCTCCAAGGAGCATGAGCACTTTTCCATGATCACCACGATGAGTGACACGAACATCTCCGACGGTTATCTTTCGAATATTTTTATCTTCGTCACTTAAAGTTACTGTGATCTTCGGTTTTTCTATTGTAATAGACCCTGATATTCTTGACGTGGCGCTCTCAACACTTGCCCCAAAAGAAAAAAAAAACATTTTAGAATGATTGATTTAGGTCGATCATAGTTAAAATCTACGAAAGTCAGACTATGCAAATTACTGCAGTGATTTGAATAAAACCATGAGTATCAAGAAACCTGAAAAGCTCGTAGCGATATAGTATATTCTCATGAGCGCTGTATAAACATCAACCAACCGTCTTACTTCAAAACATACGCAAAACACTTCTAACATTCCAAACATTTTTCTTGCGCTTACGGTTTTATTCAAGCATTTTTCACAGTTTTATTACAAACACGTCAGCATTATAAGAAGCAGATTTGTGTTTGGTGTATACAAGTAAACATTTGATATCAAGATAGAAATTAACATGATTTAAAACTCAAATGAATAATAATCCATCCTGGTTGTTTATTGGCATTAATAAAGATATGGAGGAATATTGCGCTGACAAGCACATTTGTCTGGATGATACCATGAACAACCAGGAAAGGTGAGTGGAAGGGGAACTCCTGCACATATATTCGCGCCAAGAGACGCTTATGAATAATTGATAACTATACTTAAGTAATACTATTGGCGTCATAAGGATGGCTCATGAATTTTCAATGAGCTAGAATAGTTTAAATCATTTTCTCTTTCCTTTTACCTGAAATTAGTGGAAGTGAGCTGTGCAAACCAACTCTTCAATGTAGACCACATCCACATCCTGACCACATCTTCCTTCGTGGCTATGTTGGATATGCGGTGTTTTATTGATTATAACTGGAGTTGCTTGATTTGCTTATTGTACCTGGAAGGTACAAAGGTTACTTACAACTAACAGTAGAGAAATTTGCCATTATACTAATTATATTTAATCGCTCGCTTCGCATACAAAATCATTGTATAGTTCAATTTGCACATCTTTGAGCGTTCAAGTAGTAAATAACTGAATTTTACCGTAACCATTATTTCTTAATTTATAAAACCAAAATACTTTTACAATAAGATGCACAACGCAATTTTTTGTAGAGTTTTTTACAGCTTCACTTTCGAATTCACTAGATTGTTTTGTTGTTGTCGTAGTTTCATTTTGGGGGGAGGGGGGAAGGGTGTTGTGGTTTAAATCAAAAAAAATAATGAATTAGAAAAAATAAAATTTTAAAATAATAATAATTGGATGGCTATCAAAAAGACAGTGTACCACACAGCTGGATTATAGATCCTTAAAAATCTACAAATTCAACCCGACCTTAATAAACTTCCTTGAAATCAGTATGCAACATTGGAACACTACCATGCATCTTAGTAACGAAGGAGAGAATATCATAATGGGCAAAATAAGAATTAAAAGAGGAATATTTCAAGGAGACGCCTCTCTCACCCCTATTATTTTGTGTGGAAAAATATGGCAGGAGAGGACTTGTTCGACTTGATCAATTAGAAGCATCTTCAAAACAGCAATGGTCGGCTTAGGATTGTTATTTAAGAAATATAAAACGGCGCGCGTGTCTCTGTCCTCTGATATAAACACGGTGKGAGTTCGAAAAAYACGAGAGAAGAAAGCTTAGGAACACGAGCGTAGCGAGTGTTTCTCTTGCTTCTCGAGTGTTTTTCAACTCCCACCGTGTTTATATCAAAGGACAGAGACACAAGCGGCCGTTTTATATTTCTTTTATAAAATTTTTCGAGCGAAAAGAACATTTTGCCGGTATATAAACACGGTCGTCAGCCAATCAGAGCGCGCGTTATATATCAAAAATTTTATAAGTAATATATACAATATGAGCTGGCGATCTGTATGTAATATACAACTCTCTTCATGGGCTATGATTTCTATTGTGTTTTGCCTTATGAATATTAATGAGTTTTATAAGACCTTTTAAAACATTTTCTCGTGCGCTGTCGACCATGTAGCCAAAAACATAATATCTTGAAGTCGTCTTGAAGCAAACTTTGTAATTTTTTTTGACTAGGTTAAAATGTATCAATCCAATTGAAACTTGGCAACAATTTTGCCCATATAGCGATGAAACAACTCAGTTAAGAAGAAAAAAAAATCCGCCTCATTTTTGAATTAATTGGAAAAACGCTAAAACTACACTTTTTCAGACTCGCTGCATAAACTACGGTGTACTGAAAAAAATCACATCTTCAAAATTGCCAAGAGAAAAAAAAAACTGAATAAAATTATTTCAAACTACAACATAGTGTTCTTCTTATTTTTCTCAACACCCTGTGAAGTTTCAGCTCATTATAGTAAACTTTCCCCTACTTATATATATTATGACAAGGTTGGAGACAAACCGACCAAAAACACAATCGACACGGCTTCAAACACTTGCCATTCAAATTGACTGCCATCACACATATCGTTATGCATAAATACATCTTAATTATGATGTCTTAGAGGCCTACCTGCTCTTGACTATGCACTAAAGCCGTTCAAACTTCACAGGGGTGTTGAGAAAAACACTATGTTGTAGTTTGAAATAATTTTATTCGGTTTTACCACTTTTATCGAACTTTTCGTTCTTCAGCCAAGTCCAGTGCTTGGGCTACCTGTGGTTAGGTGCGAGGGATTGCCAACTACTATGAAATTGGCGTCAAAAATGCTCAAAACTCAAAGTTTTGAGCATTTTTGACGTCAATTTCATTGTCAATAAGGGTACAGACAATGGAAAACCGCCTGCGAATTGTTTTTTTACCATAAAAAAGCGGAAAACAAAGTAAAACTTTCAAAACAAAACCGTTTCTGCGCGCGCCGGCTCCGTGCGCGAGCGATTCGTCATTTCATCGGTCTGTCCTATAATTTTGTTTTAATTTTTTTAATTTATTAGCTTTGCCCCTAGTATGGGCAGGGACACCGCAACAGCGTGAGCCAATTACTGCRGRMCCTGTACTCTCACACTCACTACCTCTACATTAAGTATTTTAAGCACACCACACTCCTCACATGTTGATTTTTACTGAGGGAGGAAAACCGGAGGACCCGGAGAAAAATGAAAATGACGTTCTTCAAAAGTATTTTGAAGTTGTTTTTGACCATTCTTTCGAGTTATAGAGGATTTCAAGTTAACAGAAACTGCACATTTTATGATCAATAATTTAAAATTATTTTAATAAAATTGTCTTGAATAAGATCTTTAGTAAATTGCCTATTTCATTTTATGAAAAGTCAGTTAAACTACTAATGTTAGATAGGCATTAACTTCTGGTCTCTTGGATCGACTGTCATTTGCATTATGAATTGCATTTATAATGCTAACATCACCAATAAACTGATTTGTGCAATCATTTTATGTATATGGGTTGTAATAGATTACTTGTAGCAGTTCTGTATCCATATTTAGACATATTTACGTAAGAATAATGAGGTGGCTTCCTACAGTTGTTTTTCGACCATAGCTCTCATTTTAAATTCGCTTTTTGAAAATCTTGCTATGAAACGATGTGTTTCGTGTTTGGACCAGTATTAAGCATTGAGCAAAGTTTTGTTTGGCATAATATTTAGTTCWAACAGTGTTACCTAGGTAACGGAATTTGCATTTTGTCGAAATTCGTTTTTCCCAAATATCTCAAAAAATTGATAAGATCCAGAAAAGCGGTAKACATCATCATTAACTTCAAACTATTGCATAACATTTTGGAATAGTTAAAAACAAATTCATTTGTTCGATTTCGAGTAATATTGACAAATATTTCATGGATGTGATTTTTGCATATTACTCGAAATCGAAAAGATGAATTTGTTTTTAACTATCCAAAAACGTTATGCAATAGTTTGAATGTAATGATGATGTCTACCGCTTTTCTGGATCTCATCAATTTCGACAAAATGCAAATCCCGTTGCCTAGATAGAGCTTAACATTATGCCAAACAAAACTTTGGTCAATGATTTAAACTGGTCCAAACACGAAACACATCGGTGCATAGCAAGATTTTCAAAAAGCGAATTTAAAATAAATAAATAAATAAATAAATAAATAAATAAATAAATAAATAAATAAATAAATAAATAAATAAATGAATGAATGAATGAATGAATGAATGAATGAATGAATGAATGAATGAATGAATGAATGAATGAATGAATGAATGAATGAATGAATGAATGAATGAATGAATGAATGAATGAATGAATGAATGAATGAATGAATGAATGAATGAATGAATGAAT